CCGTGCACGGCGTAGAATAAACGGTCAGTGACGCGCGGTAATGGCCGACATCCTAATCCTGGCCCCCTACAGCTTAATGCCATACACTCCGCAATGATAATGCTGCATGTGCTTTTTGTCATTACCAGTCGCCATTCTACCCCGTAATGAGCACCGCCGCGACAACTCCTTCGATAGGATTCGTCGTGTTATCGCGACCTTAGTCGTAACACGAGTCCTCCAACCATTTCCGCTCCCCTCAGAAACGATTTAATATAACATAACCGTTGGACAGAATTCTAATTTCCATCTCTTTCTAGATTCTTCTCTATACGCATTGCAATTGAAACTTTTTACGACTGACGTCCTTCTCTAATTTTAATTTCTTTCTTTTTTTTTTCTTCTTTTTTTGGAGGAAGAGCAGATTTTTGTTATCCTATCAATGGAATTATATTTCACCGATCCAATATATATTAAATATATTTCACTGATCCACTAGGATTGCAAAGTGGTCTAGAAGAAGTAACATTCGTCAAAATCGTTAAGTTAATTCAAATTCTCTGTTTTTTTAACTATTTTTTGACTGGCAAGTTATTTGGATATTGCAGGAAATTAGAAAAGATCGAGGGATAATGATTTACTGCAGAGGATGAAGGTAAGGGTCTCGATCCAGGGAGAGGAAGGAAAGACGTGCGGGTATCTTCGATCACGAACACGCGTGATCGTAGCAAAAGACATGACGTCACAGGTCTTGACCCCCCCATTTATACGTATATAGCGGCGTTCTGAGGCATCATCTGCGGGCCCAAGACGTGGAGCGACGAGGAGGATGCGGAGGAGGGGGGGTGGCCCGCAGCTGCCGCCCTGGCTGCCAACACAATAATATCTAATTAATTTATTAATGAGGTTAAGTTGGCAGGATTGGACGGCAGACAGCGCGAGCCGCCGCGCCGGTTCGGGCTGCGTTGGCCCGTTTTACTGCAACGTCTTTCCCCCGTTCCCCTCCTTTTCTCTCTCTTCCTTTCCATGCTTCTCTTCTCGTCGCGAGAATGAATTAAGCTTAATCAGAGCGAAAGTGTTGGGCGCGCGTGCTAGCAGGGCCGCACTGGCCCTTTCACGAGTCCTTTCACGTTTCCAAAGTATTGTGGATGGTAAAAAAAAAAACCCTTTCGTCGATTTCGTTAGTTAAAGGAAATTGATTTTCAGCAAAGAATTACTTTGTTTATAATTGAAATCGTGAAAAATTCATGGATTATTATACGATAAAATTTTATATCGTATCTTTTCAAGTAATTCTAGAAAAAGACACAAATTGGATCGAGGTTAATTTATAATATTAAAATATAAATTATTATTTAAAGGGTAGAGATATATTCGAATGTCTACTTTATTTAGAAGAGGATGAAAAGTTGAAAGAATTTAAATTGAATAACCTTGCGATTGAGAGGGGAGGAAGAAAAAATTATTTGATACTTTGAATTGAATTTTTATTAAATCGCGTGACCTATGAAGGAAGAGACGAAAGTAACTTCGTTCGAGTAACTTCTGACATAAAATGTCAATTCGTTTTAATACAGTACGACGTTAGGATTTTAATCTGTTAAACAACAGGACAATTGTTTAATCGATTTCAACGCCGTACTTAATTTTCTTGAATATTCTATTTAACGAATAGAGCCACAATTTATATTTATACCGACTGTCAGCTTGAGTCTGCATGTCAATTAAATCCATCAATTACACTGAACCATTTAACCCGTCCCTATTATAATGTTTTGTTGACAATAACTTTAATATGTTATATTATAACATTTAAGTTAATCTTTAGCATCGACACCTTTCACCATTCTTCCAATTAATAATCCCAGAAAAAATTGAAATTTAATATTATTTAATTTATCTCTAAAAACTTACTCTTCGTGTATCTCTACACAATTATACACTATCGTGTATAGGTATAAAATTACATGTAAAACTCTATTATTAATGGCGGAAAAGATGAAAGAAAACTTAGGGAACAATATTACGCAATATATTGTTGGTAAGTTGGTAAAACGATAAGAAACAATTTCGAATAGATTCGTCATCTTTCTCGACATTAATGACGCGATCATTAAAGGAGACGCATAAAATGTCATATAAACTCGTTAGTTGACCGAGTAACAACTAATGAAACAAGTAATCCAATAACAGTCTTAAGCGATAAAATTTTCCACAAAAATAATCTTGGTACATCGATTTCGATTCTCCAAAAAAACTAAATAAAATAATTATTCTTAACTTAATTATTCTTAACTTAATCAACTTCCCAATAAAGATATTCCAAAGAGATGAGATAAAATAAAATAGAACCGAAATCGAGAAGCGTTTATTACGCGATATATAATTTATCGTAAGGGTGAGAGCGATGAGAATAAACTTGCGGGGAGAGCAAGTATCAAAAATATTGTTGGAAAAGCGAGAAAAAGAATCATTCGGTAAAAATCATATCGCGTTAAGTTCAGACCGGGCTCTTCAGCGGAAGCTTTAGCGGCAGACAGCTCGCAGTCCCCGGAGGGATTCACTGACGAAAACGAGCACGGACAGCCGCCCTTATACCCATCATCGTCAACCTCTTTCCGCGGCTCGTTCGACTTCTTCTCCTCGCGAAAAATCCCCTCAACGGCTGGCCGGTTATTACGTGACCATAAAGAGGCAGCCGTTTCCCATGGCTACACTGCTACCTTATGTGCGGCGCACTGGCGCCCTCTAGCCAGAGGAATTCCGGAAGTGGAGGAATTGGCGCGGAGGAAAATTGATTGAGATGGTTGTTTTAAATTCTTTTTCTTTTTTTTTTTTATATATTTATATTATTTTATATATTTATAAATTAATATATTAAATTTATATATTATTTTATATATTTATATTCGAATAATTTGTCTAATTGATTTATATTGGTCAGGCAATAATACGACGAAATATCTGTAGATAATATGTCTATTCTTTTTATTTTATTTATCAAGATTGTAGAATTAAGTGTCGTTTTAATCCAATCCATAATGAATATTACTTAATAGTAGTTTTTTATTACGATTTAATTTGCTTTTATCACAATAAGTTTTAAATATTTCTTATATCAAGGAAATATGAGAAATGGTGTTAATATTGCAATGAAGAAGTTAATGCATCGAAGAACGAGTTACACGAGCGATCAAATGTTGTATACACGAAAGGAAAGTGGCGGCAAATTTAAATACCATGACGCGTTCATTCGAGGATCGATTTGCTTGCAAAATTGAATTTGAGCGAACAATTACATTTGATTCTATTCTATTTTCGTGAAACTTTGTTTGGAAACACGTGGGAATAAAATTCAAGTAGAAAAGAAGGAAATTATTTAAAGCTTTAGGATAGGATTTTTAAGTACAAAAAAAAAAATAATACTTTCCTATCAAAGAAAATAATATATTAAATTAAAAATTCTTCGATTAAATTTATTGTAATGATATTGATATTAAAAGGATATCGTATAAATAGTTATTAAACGAGTGATAGAAATATAATATGATTTAATTGAAATATGTTTAAAATAGTTAAATCAATATTCAAAGATTCAAAGCATTGAGGTTTTCGAGGATTGAGGTTTCAAAATTTCCAAATATTAGAGATAAACATTTTCGTTCCGTTTTCATCGATAATATCAATGATTTAATACGTTTTGAGTAAATTGAATGACGAATGTGTGTTGACAAGTAATAAACGCGAGGAAAGTGTAAAAATTTTAAAAAATCACTCCGTATATTTGCCAAAGAAACATACGGAGAAAATATTTCAAAATATTGATTCGTAAAATCTATCGAATAAATTTATTATATATATATGATTAAAATTATTAAAATGTGTACACAATTTAAAGTAACATTGAAAATTAAAAAAAATAATTATCGTATTAATTTTTGTTAAATATTATTCACTTAGTTGTTTATATAAAATTATTTAATTATATACAATATCATTCGAGCGAAATAAAATCATTTCAGATTTAACATCAAGATTGGGATCCGTCGGATCCGCCATAATCCTTGGCTGCATAGATAGTTAATTCTTTTACTTATAATATTTCACAAAATTATAGAATATATTTTACCGAAAAATATTCATCAATTCTTTTTTTATCATAATGCCAGATATCGAAACAGAAACATAAACAATTCTGTTGCAAATATTTATACGCTGTTATAACGCATGGAATACGTATAATGTACGAAAATGTGCAAAATATTTAAGAAAAAAAGAACCTCTTATTTAAATATTCTTTTTTTTATTATTATTATTACACTCAGAGAAATAAGAATTTAATTAATTTAAATACGTTTAATTGCATGATATACAGTCCAGTGATGATAACGAAGTTACGGGAATTGCACTTGATATCGAAGATTGTAATTTACAAGTATCTACATTAAAGTGCATAGAGATTGTATAGCATTAACAATTCCTATCATTACAATTGTACCGAAACGATTCAAACACTTGATTCTTTCGAATATTATCCAATTTTCTCAAGCAGCCCATCAAGCATAATTGAAAATATAACCAAATGCCATTATACCGGGTTCAAACTGGTAGATTATAGCTTGGATCAAACCAGTTACAGCTTAAAAGAAATCCGTTTATGAATTAATTTCTCCGTTCAAATTAGGGGACGAACCACAAAGTTAATCGATAAAAATTCGTTTAAATTAATCCCGATCAATTTTCGTCGGCCAATTTGAAAAGATGTAGACATTCCTCGAAGCTAAAATATACATAAATATTCAAGCTTTAATTTTTCTTTTTCTTCCTCCAATTTTGCCTAACAATAATACGCGTGGAATTGTTGTACGCGCGAGAAATCGTCGAAAGACTCATTTAACAATTTGAAACGAAAATTACGATTTTTTTCGAGAATCTTTCACACGAAAAGACGTTAAACGTTTGGAAAGGATTCGTGAAAAATGAGAGGATTGAAAATGCTCGAAGCGGGGAATATCGCTCACCTTGACCAAAGGTGGACTATGCGTGGGTGGATGGTAGTGTCCCGAAGAAGGGCTCGCGGGCGGCCCCGCGCCCCCGGGCGAAATGGTACCGCCTCCGGGGGTGAGAATCCTGGACTCGTGGCTGAACAACACTTTCTCGATTTCCTCCGCACTCTCGCGGATCACCTTCGACCCCCTGAACCTTTCTCCTCCTGCGACCCGATCGCAAGATCCACGATCTAAAACCGCGTGGATCCTCTCCTCGCGCCTTCTCAAACTTCGTTTACAACAGTTGTCCCTTCTCGATCACTGAACACAACAAAGATCTCTACTGTATGCGCCCTCCTTTGCGACACTTGCACCAGCCTTTTGTCCCTCCTCTTCTGAATATCGATCATTCAATCAGTCACACTTTGAAAACATCAGGCTTTGTACAGTTTTGTCTTTTACTTTAGATTCAGAAACACTGGTCGAATCGTTGATTGTGTTTCGTTTGATTAACACATCGTTTTCTTTCTAACAGTCATTGTAAATTTTCGTGAGAAATCTCGAGAACGTTTCGTCCAAGATTTGATTCTTGACGGGATTCTTCAACTTGTCCTTGAGGCAAGTACTCATGACAGACAGTTTATAAGAGGTTGTTAAAGGAAAATTGTTCTCCTTTTCTCGTGATTTACGTTCGAAACATACAGAATTGAATTAAACAACGCATGTAAAAGGCAAGGATCCATCAGTGTCACCGATGTTACTCTTCCTTCGCGAATTCTTCCCTGCTCAAACCTATCGATACTTCTTCAAACATGTTCAAATCACTTCCAAATCTAAAAAAAAAAAACTCTCGATCGTTCACATGAATAAATCAGCCAGCCTCCTTTATCGATAAAACTCCACAACGATCAAATCCCAACAACTGTTCGAACACCTCAAACAACTTTCATCACAAACTTCTCCAAATTGTCAACTCCTTATAGATAAGATCCCTCGTATTCGACACGTCAAATTCAAACACGTCAACTCTTCAACACCTCGAATGCTCTTCGTATCAAACGTGTTTCTCCAGACTTCTTCCCGGATCCTCGAATCCTGCTTCGACACTCGAAACTGTTCGTTCCTCGTTAATTCGTTTCTCCTTATCCGGTTTCTCCGCCAGATCCAGGCCAAGCACTGCACTGGTCGATCCGGCACCAGCTATGATCCACGAGAGGAGACCCGTTGGCCGAAAAAGCGGAGTGGTCGCGTTCGAAGAGGATCCCAGAGCTGGATTGTGTGTCGTTCACGGTGTCGCCTCGACGTCCAGGCAGCGAAAGCGTGTTCGATAGGCGGAACCACGCAGGCGTCGAGCGGTTCTCGAGGCGTGGTCTGCGATTCCTCGTCTCTGTTCGACTATCCGGCCTGTTCTCGTCTTGGCCGCTTGTCTACGCGGGGGTGGCGGATTCACCACGTGGTTTTATTGGCCAAATAACGCGTACGACAAACATCCCTACCGTAGGCAACCCGGAGTGTCTCCCCGTGTGTTGTAACTCACCCTACGCGCGTAGCCACTTTGGAGCAAAGGGAGAGAGAGAGAGAGAGAGGGGGGGGGAGGGAGAGGCGATAGTCGTCATGGTGTAAATCGTGTTTACCCCCTCGTCCATAGTGATTCTCTCGTGTGTATCAGACGCGCTCCACCTCGACCCTTACTCAGAACTCGCGTGCTTGTCTCTTTTCAACCGTTGGAGGGGTGGGTGAGATAGCCTCGTTCCGGAGGGAGGACGAAAACACAGCACGACGTTCATCCTCCTTCAGGCCTCCTCGTTTCTTGGACGATGTTCCTTGGCTCCAGTGCGCGCTGCTGGACTTTCGGACAACTCGCGATATAAGGACAAGAAGGTTGCCCTCTACGTGTGTGTATGTATGTATACGGCTCTGAACAACGTTTGCCTCTTTGGGGTTGGACGAGGTTTCGCTTGGATGTTTTTTCGAAATCTGTTTTGTTTTGTTTTTTTTTTTTTTTTTTTGCGTTTGGAATGAGAGTAGAAAGAGAGTTTTTTTTTTGAATCGGAGCTTCTTTGAAAGCTTCTTAGAAAGAAGCTTGTTGGAGCGTTAGTTTGGTTCTGTTTGATTTCGTTTGATTAGGTTTGATTTATTCCAACGAGATAAAGAAAAATGTAAATAGACTTCCAAAATGTAATTTGTAATGTAAAATAATCGATTGTTCTTCAACTTTTTCATTTTTTATTTTTTATTTTTCAATAAATCGGTTTTGAATCGGAGTTTCTTTGATAGAAAAAAATTGGAGGATTAGTTTGGTTCTGTTTGATTTTGTTTGATTAGGTTTGATTTATTCCAATGAGATAAAGAAAAATGTAAATAGGCTTCTAAAATGTAATATGTAATGCAAAATAATCAATTCTTTAACTTTTTCACTTTTAATTTTTTATTTTTCAATAAATCGTTTTTAAATCGGAGTTTCTTTGATAGAAAAAGATTGGAGGCTTAATTTAGTTCTGTTTGATTTTATTTGATTAGGTTTGATTTAACGAGATAAAGAAAAATGTAACTAGCCTTCTGTAAAATGTAATATGGTAAAATAATCGATTATTCTTCAAGTTTTTTTTCACTTTCAATTCTTTATTTTTCAATAAATCAGTCAGTGTGGACGAAAAACCCGAATTCTTAAAAATTGAAAATAATACCGAGTATTCTCCTCTCAAAGAACGAAAAACTGATCGTAAATCAAGCTTGAACCGAGTGGAGAAGACGAAGGTGAATAGAAGTTGCCGCGACAGGGGAGGAGAAAGGGAAGTCTATAAAATCTGATACAAGGAATCGGACGGTCTCGATTTTTCTGCAATTTTCCCCAATCTTGATCGGCTCCAATTTCATCCCCTATCGAATCGCACTTCGCCGGGAATCCAAGATCCGTACATTCGCCGGCAGAAGCGATTCGAAACTTGCACGATGACGAGGTTTCGAGTGAAATGGTAACATCGGAGCACGCGCTTATCCGTGTCCATATATTCTCTTTCCATTTGATTCTTCCAACCCTTCGGGGATAAATTTTTGATGCTCGAAAGCTCATAGGATAAAAAAGATATAGACGACATCGATGTAAACGCGAGACAGTGAGGATAGAGCGAGGAAGAGAAAACGAATGGAAAAGAAACAGGAAAAGAAAGAGGAAAATTCGAATAAAATCGAAAATGTATAGGGATCGATTATAAATAGAAAGAAAAAGAGTGAGAAAGAAAACGAGGAAAAGGAAGAGAAAAGAGATACGAAATTTTCATACTTTAGAGAAAATTCTAGAAAAGATATCGAGATAAATGGAATATAATATTGGATGTGTGAAATGGCTATAGACAGGAAACAAAAGTAAATAATCAGAGTAGACGAGGAGGGAAACGAGGATGGAAGCAATCAAAGAACACAGAAGGGCGGAATTCGGGTGGAGAGAGGAAACAGGGATAGAAAGAGCTGGAGACCGAGTTAGGAGAATAATCGCGTTTCGTGGTGACTAGATTACACCACTCCATGCTTGCGAACTACACACCACGTATAGAACACCTATATACCGCGTATATAACTAGTCGAGAATTTCACCCCCTGTCCACCCTCTGTGATACCAGCCTCCACTACTGGAAATATCCAGTTATCTATTCCCAATTTTTCCTCCCCGTTTACAGGGAGGATGATTTTCTTCCACGTGAACGTGGAAGGAAATAGGTTTTCCAATCATTTCGCTTTCAAATGAACGATAAAACTGATATTAAAAAAGAAAAAAAAAAGAACATAATAAAGAAAAATTTCCTTTTTTAACTTATCCACTCATAAAACTCATCTGATTCAGCCTAAAATTCAATTAAAATTTCACCTTTCACTCTATCTACATCAAAGAAGAAAGAAAAACCAATCCAAACAAAACCTTGTCCAACATCCTCATTCACATAAGACTTAGCCCCATCAATTCTCAACTTCAAGAATTTCGTATCCATATCCAGCAAAAATCTTACCCTCCACCCCCATCAACCCCCATCACCTCGTCGACTCAACCCACCTCCTTCCTTTCCCTTCCCTTTCCTTCAGGTCCAGCCAGAATTCCAGCAGCGTCGTCGAGCGGGTTGCGGAGGTTGTTTAATAAAATAACCTCGTTACGCCGCAGCCGATGGGCGGCGAGGGGTGTTCCGAGGTGGTTGTTGGAGCATCCGTCGGAGTGTAAAAGACTGAGACTCTCGAACGAGGCGAGGCCTTTGGAGGAGGAGGAGGAGGAGGAGAAGGAGGAGGAGGAGGTAGGAGAGATGGCTAATGTAGGAGCGGGGGGTGGCTGGCTGGTTGGAGCTCCTACCCTTGTAGGAGACGAGCACGAGATGGACGTAGTTTTCGAGGGAAGGTTGCGGGGAGGGGGTGGGTGCTGCGGATCCAACTGCGGAGAGAACGAGACGAACACGAAGGGGAGGGGGAGGAGGAGGGTACTAATACATAAAGTAGCTTAAAGTAGAAAATTGTGGAAGCGTCGTGATGCCTGGTGATTGCGTTACCTCCGGGGCTTTGATTTAAAATGCAACGAGGGGCCAACCAGCCGGCGGGGGTGGGGGTGTCGGAGAAAACGGGAGGGGTTGGAAGGATGGATCCTGCCTGGGAGCCATGTTCCTCCTGCGGGAACGTCAGCCAGCCTTCGCTCCGTGGATGGTTGTGTGCCGGTGGTTGGCCAAGGGGTTGGCGGGGGGTTGAAAGAGAGCGAAGAAGGGCAAAAGGCGGCGGTGTGGTGGTAGTAGGCGATCTATCTAGCTACCACCGGTGGTAGCTGCTACGGCTTGATGGTGGTGGTGGTGGTGGTGGTGGTGATGTTGGAAGCTGCTCGGCTCTGTGTCCGTGGAAAGATGGGAAAGAGGGTGGAAAAGGGTGGAAAATTCTTTTCCACGAACGCGCCGGATCGACTTCGGCTGCTTTGTTGCTCGTTATTTTTATTTTTCACTTACCAGCCTCCCTCCCCCTCCGCCCTTCGTCCACCTCTTCGTCTTCGGCTTCGGTTTCCACTTCGGCTTCGGCTTCAGCGCAATAATCCCTTCTATTGGGTCAACCTTTTTACCATCCATTTCTGCGCGGAATCTATTTGTCCCCGTGGTTTGTTCGCCGACACCGAGATCGCGAGAATTTCTTCCTCTCTCTTTTCTTCATCTTCTTTTCTTTTTCTTTTTTTTTTTTTTTTTTTTTTCTGAAGGTTTAAAGATTTGATTCGAATCCCTCGATTATCCGTCGATACTTGTTTTAATTGTAAATCCGCTAAGGTCAGGAAGATCCTCGTTTCAAACGCGAAGATTGCTATTAAAGTCAAGTTGTAGACAGTGTCTTTTTAATAAATTGCCCTCGTGAAATGCGATTAGGCGTAAACGCGATGTTTTGAGGGTGAAAAGCCACGTAGGGTCGGCTCTGAGTGACGGCGGACAGACAGGTCGAGACTTAAGGTTCCCGCCACTGGTGCAGGGGTAAATTCGGAGGGGGAGGAGGGGGCGACAGATGATTTAGCGCGGTGTTTCTCGTGTCACTGTATCAAACACCCGAGAAAGTTGACAGCTTGAAAGGGAGCTCGATATTCCATCGATCTTTTCCCTTCTTTCTTTCTTTTCGATTCTTTTCTCAAATTGATTTGTATACGTAGGATTCATAATAATTTTTTTTCCTTCTTTTTTTAAACACTCGACGCATCTCAATATATCGTAAAAATATATTCCAAAGGGTCGATCGATGAAACAATCGCGGGAAAGATTGGCAATTTCGAAATCGGGATGTACCTTCGAATCCCTTTCGTTTCAACGCAGGAAAATCAAAGGGTGAATGGACGATCGGTGTCGAATTTGATGAATCCAGTTTGTTAGACTAAGATGCGCCAAGGTGTGCGAGAAAAATGAGCGGAGCGGAGGATGGATCCTTTACCAAAAGAATTCGAGTGTCAATCCATATCTCTTTCTCCTCTGATCCCTTCATCCTCGGGGACTTGGACACGGAGGGAAGAGGATCAACGATGCCGTGATGGTGTTCGAAGGGCGCATGAAATGAGGGGTGTGAGAGGGGTGGAATTAAAGAAAGAGCACGAAGAATGTTGGCATGAGATATTTTTGACGCGGATTGACGTCTTGAGATGCGTAAAATGTACGGGGAAATTGTTTTCGTGAATTATGGCACACGTGTTTCAGTGGTTTTCAATCACTTAATTGGTACCTTTGCTGGCTTACGTGAGAATTT